GAATTATAAACTCTTTGTTAAGGTAGTTGTCTGCTTCCAGGGTGGAGAATGTACTGTCCCAAGCTTTGGGGGTTTTGTGCAGCTGTTTTCAGAGATACTTCTAGGGACCTGTAAATTTTCAGTTCTTCCAAGGTGCTATAATCAAGGGCGAGGTGACCACGAGCACTATTTTCTGTCTTGGAACTGTGAAGAGGATTTTCTCTTTACCACCACTACAAGCTCCACCATTCCAGTGCTCCTCTTCTCCCAGGACGGCCGTCCAGAACCATGACCCAGATCAAAGCACGGGCAAAGCAAGAAAATCCTGCACCAGCAGAGAGATCCCTGCAATCCACTTCTGATCAGCCACTCGATTCCTCCTTAGTCGGTGGGCCAAAAGTTCTGGAGGCAGTCGCCGCCCAAGGCCGACCTGAGGGACTGGGGCTGGGACCCTGTGCTTCTCTCTTTCACCATAGACGCAGACTTTTCCCACTGACTTTCTAAGTTGTCTTTGGGGTTCATGGGTTGAAAAGTTTGGACACTGCCTCAGCTCCCTGTGATTCAGTCCTCTGAGGCCTACTCGCCCACGCCAAACTGCGTTCCTCTCCCAGCCTGGTGAGATATACCTTTCTATTCAACCATCCAGGTTGTCTTGGGCTGAAATTTGTTTCACTCTCTCTTTTTGTGGGTTCTGCTAATTTAGAATTTGTTCAGAGCCATTTTTTATAGGTATTTGGAGAGATTTGGGGGAGAGCTCAAGCAAGTCACTGCTTTTACTCTGCCATCTTGGCTCTGCCCCTGAAACAGTTACTTTTGAAGGTCCTCTGGAATGAAAGGCAGGCTAATACATCATAGGTGGAGTTGTGAATTGGTCCAATCATTATAGAAAACAAAGTGGAATTTTTTAAAGAAATCATGAAGCTGTTCATTTCTTTTTTCACCTAAGGAACCTCCACCATATACAAATCCTGAGCAAGTTTAGGACTGAGAGAAAGTTTACATATATACAAAAATATTCATTGTATCACTTTTTTTTGTGATAGTAAAGAATTGGAAGCAAAGTGGGAACCCATTGATTGAAGAAGGACTGAACAATTTGTGTTATATGAGTATGATTGCTCCACCTGCCTAACCTGGTCCACTATTTCTGGCAGATCCCAGACATGTTTTACTCAATTCTGTATTCCCTGACCATCTTTTTGAAAACATTGCCTCCTGGCTCATAAATCATTCCCAAAGGACTCTCCCTTTTATCTCTAGAGATTCTGCTCTGGACTGACACTGTCTTGATGCCTTACTTGGTCTACTATTTCAAGTAGACCATAGTCTTCCTTCTCTTCACACTGCTCTCTAGTTCTGGAATCATGATAAAATAAACTCTAACTCCTCCTGGTAAGGATGTGTCAATCTACTCCCTTGTTACCCCACTCAGCATTCGTGTAACTTTTCAAACTAAAGTCTCCTGCCTGGCCACTACTCTTTTCTCCTTCTATTAAAATGTAAGCTTCTAGGGTAGCTAGGTGGTGGAATGGATAAAGCACCAGCCCTGAAGTCAGGAGGATGTGAGTTCAAATGCGGCCTCAGACCAAATACTTGACACTAGCTGTGTGACCCTGGGCAAAGTCACTTAACCCCAACTGTCTTAAAAAAAAAATAGAAACACAAATGGGGGGGGGGAAGGAAAGGATAGTTCCTGCCCTCAAGAAGCTTACATTTTTTAAAGGTAATTGGCGTTAAGTGACTTTGCCCAGGGTCACACAGCTTGTATGTGTCAAGTGTTTGGTCTGAGGCCGCATTTGAACTCAGGTACTCCTGACTTCAGGGCCATGCTCTATCTACTGTGCCACCTACCTGCCCCTTCTATTTGTATTTCTAGAACATAGTACTTGCCACATAATAAGTACCTAATAAATGCTTCTTTATTTATTAATTTATAAAAAATTATGAAGGCCTGTATGAACTAAGGAGAATAGGGAAAGTGGATCTAGGAAAACTATATATATATACATATGTATATAAAATGACTACAATGAAATGAAAGAAAAAAGGTAACTGATCTTTTATTAAATGTAATGAATAGTTGTGGTCCCAGAAAACAGATAAGAAAATACAAATGAGATTAAAGGTGAGGAATGTTGTATCTATGCATATTGTCCGTCCTGTGGGTTGCTAGTTTTAGTTTAACTTTTATTTTTTCTATGGGAGGGTTTTCCCAGTGGAGGTGAGGGAGCCACATGGAAATGACTGTGCTGTAGAAAACACATCAGTCAAACTTTGAAAAGAAAAAGAAAATGAGAGACAAGCGTAGGTGAGAGAGCACAACTGTAACAGTGCCTACCCAGGTCTCCACTGCCTGAAGGCCAGGTGTGCTACATTTCATCCCTTCCCTATGGTTTTCCTGTACCTCTCTACTATCGGCTCAAGACCCCCCCCATTAGTGTTCCTCAAATTTTACTGGTCTCCTGCACCCCAGTTCCATTTAACCACTTAACAGACTAATTTTTACAAAAGAATATTTACTTCAAAAGTATAACCAGAGCAAACATATAAACATTCCCACAACGCCTGGGAGGTATAATATCCCCCTCTTCCGTCCACATCACCTCAGTCTCTGGTGAAGAAAGGGAGTTAGATTTTCTGTTTAATTCACTTCCTATGGTATGGTCCTTCTAAGTTCCAAGTCCAGTGCCCCCCTGGGCTTGTATGCTGACACCCTGGCTTCTCAGAGCTTCCCTGCAGCAATATTCATCCTGGAATCCTACCTCCAAGGTTACCAGGGCTCTAGCCCCAGCATCTGGGATCTCCATAGCTTGTAACTAGAACTGAAAAGGACAAACAAAACAGACCAAAACCCAAAGTCGGCTTCTCCAGGCCACAAGACCTAAAAGAGAAAGGAGATAACCTTTCTCTTGTACAACTTCTTGATACTTATGCTGACTTTACCAGTCTGGTAGTTTTAAAGATGCAGCCAGTTCTGGCTACACAGCCAACGGAAAGAAAGAGGCAGCTTGCACCCACAAGGTGGGGGAACAGAATATCTTCTCCAAGAAGTGTGTCCCTGACTTCTCCCACAGGTGTCTCCATTTAAGGTGATCTGGGCATTCCCAAAGTTGTGTTACAACTGGTTATTTAGATTTGCAGATATTACTCAACTTATAGGAAAGGTTGATAAGGGATTTCTTTGTTGAGTTCAATTTAATGATGTTTTCCAGCAGGATATCCAGACTCTGGAACATTTGATAAACACCCAAACAGAATATAGACATACCCATTGTCTCTTGATTAAAATGAGGAAAGCCAACCTAAGATTAGGCCTCAATACTTCCCCTTTCTTCCCATATGTATAATTGGAAAATTTATGCTATAGTGAGCAGTCCAGATCAGCTAAGTTAATTAAAAAAAAACAACTTATGGGAGCTATCCTGACTCCCCTCATGCTTGGCAAATAAGTAGTCTAGCTTTTCCCTCTCCTTCCCCTCAATACTAGATGAACTGACAAGAGAGGTAGGCTACCCCAACATCAAATTGGCCCTTGGAGTAGATTAGAAGGGCACTAAGTGGTACAAAGGATAGAGGGGGCCTGAAGTCCAGAAGACCTGAGTCCAAATGTGACATCAGACACTGGCTGTATGAACCTGGGCAAATCACTTCATCCTGTTTTCCTTAGTTTCCTCATCTGTAAAATGAGCTGGAGAAGGAAATAGCAAACTACTCTAGCATTTTGCCGAGAAACCTCAAATGGACTCACAGAATCAGACACGACTGAAATGGCCGAAAAAGTGGATTAGAAAATATCCCCTCACTATCCAGTAAAAGATCCAGTCTTCTCCAGTAAAAGATCCAGCCTTCTCCACTAAACCCTCAGTATGTCAAATCCCTCTTGGTAGAGCCCCACATACCTTAGGGAGTATTGTCTTTTGTTTGTTTGTTTTTAAGTGAGACAATTTGATTTAAGTGAGTTAGGATGGCTCATCTGGAATTATTTGATTTTTAAATCTGATCTGAACTGCTTGCCCCAGGATCACTCATACAACGTGGAAAGATACCGGTGGTGGTGGTGGTGGTGGTGCTGACTACATGACGTCCAATCCATGCCAAGTGACAAGGTAACTTCCATGCTCATTTCCTCCTGCCAAACTTCTCCCTTCTTACATATTATTAATAGTGGAAGCTTGTGAGACTACCCAGGCAATATGTAGGTAGAAGAGGAAGCAGTATTTCTTCACGGGATTTTTTTTCTTACTGTAGTTAACAAAAGATAAGGATACTCTTTCTGAAAATATTGCTTTGGAGAGTTAGGATACTGTGGACTGTAGGATTTTCTTTGTGAAACAGGGATATCCTTCTTGTCTCCAAACCCTCTAAGATGCCACTTGTTTTCTTTTTTGGACTCCCACAGTGGAGAATTATTTCCTTGGATTCCAAAGAGGCTTTTAAAGTGCACTTTAAGGGTGCATTGGGAAAACAGTGTCTTGCTGCTGAGGGCTTTGGGGTGTGGGGTGTGGGGAGAGGAGGTGAGGAAGGCGGGAGTGGTGGAACGAGGATGTCGAACCTTCAGAAAACAGCCAGTTCCTGACTCCCACCACGCACATTTCAGAGATACACTAATACAGATAAAATTCACCCGTAGGCCAACCCAACACTTGGCTGGCTCAGACTGCGTGAGAACCCAGAGTGGCATTTCACTGGGGTTGAGTTAGGTTGTCGAGATTTGGGGCAGCGGGGGACGAGGAGTCTAGGGGATTTGGACTGCAACCTTGTTTTGAGTTAGGGGTGTCACGTATAGCAACGGAGGTGTGTCTGCTTCGGGTGCTGAGTGAACCCCAGAGGGCGTCTCGGCTGATTTCTGGGCTAGTAAGCTCGTTAGAGTTTAGGGTCCGAGAGCTGGTAGACCCGAAGCCTCGGAGAGAAGATGTGCATTGTAGGCATGTGATCGGCCGCGGAGGCTGCTGTGGAGGCTGTGGTAGTGGTGGTGGCGGCGCTGGGGCTGGGGCTGCCCAGAAATAGCAGCAGCTGGTTTCCGCTCCCTGGTTGGCTAAGAGAGAAAGACAGAGAGAGAGAGAGAAAGAGAGAGCCCGACCAGTAGAGAGGAGCCGGCGGCGGCGGCGTTGGCTGCGCGGGACACCCGGGGGACTCCTCCCGGAGAATGCAATCCCCCTGCCCTGCCCCAGCCCCAAGCAGATGATGGCGATACGGGAGCTGAAAGTGTGTCTTCTCGGGGTGAGTCCTGGCGCCAGCGGCTCTTGCCAGGGGAGACTAGCTAAAGGGACCGGCTTTTTCCAGCCAAGAGGGGGCGGCCGTGGCCTCGAGACCCCCTCCGCTATCCCGGAGAGGGGGGATGCTTCCGCAGGCGCCCCCCCAGCCCCCTGTAAGCCGGGGGGCCTAGACTGCCTTCTGGCCTTCGTCACCTCCGCCCCCTCCCCCCCGCCCCAGCTGGGGTCCCGGGACGAAGCTGGCCCAGGGAGCTTTCTTGGCTTGGTGCCTGCCTCTTTTGGCTATCTTCGCCGGACTGGCTTCCTGTAACTGGGCTGCCCTGGGACTGGAGGGGTCTCCTCGGGGAATAGTGCCCCCGGAGCCGCTCTCCATCAGCCAGCGAGGGTACCGGGGAGTCCCGTTTCCATCTTTGGAGAGCTTTTCCCTCCACCTCCTTACTCCTAGCCTTGTTGGAGGGGCTTTCTTCATTGCCTTTGATAATTTCCTTCCGGCTGAAAGTAAATTAGTTTTCAGAGTAGCCTGAAATTCTCTTTCATCCCATTGGGAATGATTTCGTTTATTTATTTACTTAAAAAAACAACAACAACTCAGGTTAAGATATCCATTAGTGTTTTTAAACTCAGAGTACGGTAGTGGTTGGGAGGGTGGATAAAGAAAGTATGTGGTTGGTCTGGAAGCCTTTTGTGTCGTGGATAAAACAGCAGGCTAAGAAAGGCTTCGTCCTCCCCCCTCCTACACACACATACACACACACACACACACACACACACACACACACACACACGCATCTACTACTTCCCCTCTTTCTCAAATCTTATTTCTTAGCATAAAGAAGAACTCTGTTTAAGCTGCCAAGGACGGAAAAGCCAGTGGAGTGGCTGGCCTGTATCATTCACAAGGAGGGCCAGCTCCGAAAGTTCCAACGGGACATTCGCCCGGAGTTCAGGATCTAGGGCTTTTCTGTTTGATCTCATCCCACCTCGGCACCCGTCCCTGCTCCCTACCTCAGAGATGGTTCTTTAAAAAGGACAGTGTCCTGGCAACCCCCCCACCCCCGCCCCCAGCAAAGATGCGGCAGCTTTTGACATCTGTGGACTCTTGCTAGCTGGGTCCAACTAATCTCCAAGAAAACTGCCTCCCTCCACCACCAAAAGCAGCAAAAGGGAACACTCATTCTTGTTAGCCTCAAAGAAATGTTAACTATGAGCTGTCAGTAGATTTCCAAGAAGTGAATAAGAGGAAATGATCTTTTAAGTCTCTATCCACCCTGTGGCTTTTGTAGGGAGAACATTAGGATAGACTTGTGTTTACAAAACTGTAGTGCCCTCCAGATTGTGTTTTGAGGAGGGTTCTGAAATCTCTGGCTGGATTGTATGGCTTAGCTTACTTAGCCTTCTCTTCTCATATAACCTTTGTCATATCCTCAGTAAAGACCCCCTCAGTCTCTTTCACCCAATTGTGCAAAGTTAAATGTTTGTGTGTTATTCTAGTCCATCTCCAGTGGCTTTTATCAGAATGCACATTGGTAGGTTCTTTTTTTCCTCAGCCTTATGCCAGAGATTCTAATATTGTCCAGACATAAATTCCAGGAATTTTACGTCTCCTTTTGAGGGATCATTTCAGTTTCAGAAAGGCTATCAAGGACCTAGAAGGAATGTGGTACCTTAAGTAGTTGAAAGTATTGGAAGCATACTTAGGTTATATGACTAGGGCTGGTTGTAGGGAAAGCTATGAAGAAGGCCAAGTTTTCACTGCTCTGTTTTGTGACTCCCCTTTGACAAAGGATTTAGACAAAGGATTGTAGGATTTTAGAACAGGAAGATATCTTAGACAGAATTTAATCTAATCCTTTCATTTTACAGAGAGGGAAACAGGCCTCAAGAGATAAAATGACTTGTCTGAAATTAAATAGGTAGTGGCAGAGTCTAGATTTGAATCCAGGTCTTCTGATTTAAATCTAATGCTTTTTCCAGTTCACTAGGTAACTCTGTCCTCTGAAGGAACCCTAGAATAAATCTAGTTTCTTCCTCACATAAAAGCCATTCAAGTATTTTATACCCATCATGCTCCTACTCAGTCTTATTCTCCAGTATAAACATTTCCATCTCAACTGTTGCTTATATAACATGATTTCCAAACCCCTTCCCCTTTTATCTTGTTGTTCAGTTGTGTCTGACTCTTCGTGACCCTATTTGGAGTTTTCTTGGCAAAGATACTGGAGTGGTTTGCCATTTCCTTCTCCAGCTGATTTTACAGATGAAGAAACTGAGGCAAACAGGATTAAGTGACTTGCTTGGGGTCATACAGCTAGTAAGTGTTTGAGGCCAGATCTGAACTTGGGAGGATGAGTCTTCCTGACTCCAGACCCAGTGCTTTGTCCACTGTGCCACCTACCTGCCCCATCTGCCCTTAGTCACCCTCTTTTAGATACTGTCTGCTTCAGGTGTCCTTAATTTGTCTATGCAGACTCCCAAAGGGTATGCGGATAGATTTGGAGTGGGGGGAGGTCAATGAACTTGGATAGAAGAAAATGTCTTTATTTTCATTAACCTTTAACTGGAATATAGCATTCCTTCAATTATGAATTTTAAAATTTCATTAATTTGAGGAATCTATAAGTTTCACCAAACAGCCAAAGGGGTCCATGACTCACAGAAAAGTCAGTAACTCCTGCTCTGGTTAGATAATGGTTCCCTGAAAGTATGATGCCCAGAACTGTGTATAAAGTACTCACAGAATTATAGATCCTCTTGGGGTTAATAGTTTTTTATGTCCCAAAGGATCTAGTTCTCTACTGCTAATTAGAAGACTTGAGTACTATTCTTCTCTTGTGTGATATTGTTGCTTATCTATAAAATGGAGATAATAATACCTTACCTGTAGAGAGCTGGACTAGGAAATCTTTTGAGATCCTTTCCAGTATTACAATCCATAGTTCTATCACTTGCAAACCTATGATTCTAAGATGATTTTTAGTTAATCTGAGAATTAATGTGTGTAATGGGAGTTCAATTTTGATGTTTCATCAGGATGTGGAAATAATCCTGGGCTCCTGAAGGATATGCCAGTGAAGTGTAAACTTTGGTGAGTTTTACTATACTGGAAAGGCTGGCTTCTAATGCAATTGAGTTTGCTTTCCAAGGACAGGCTGAGCTAAGGATGGAAAGGCACATTGCCAGTATGCTGGCCATTCATTAAATGATGGATTCTTTAGTCATGGTAAACCAAGAAACAAAAGAAAAGTGCAAATTGGCCCTCTGTCAATCCTCATTGTCCTTTATCAGCTTCTGTAGTCAAAATGACAGGGTAACAGAGAGCAGATAGTACCAAGGATTACATAGTTTACAGAGTTTTTCTAAACCTTAATTGTTGATCCTTTAAATGTGAGGTCCTTGCCCTAAGATCTCAGTCAATAGACTACTGAAGAAACTCAGTTATAGCAATATTGATATTTCCCCCTGTATATGAAACTAGAAGACAAGGAGGAAGACAACCAAATATAAGGATGGCTCATAGGTTAAATGTTTGTAGAGGCAAATAAAGGAGTAGGTTTTGTTGTGTTCTCAAAGTCATCAAGAAGGAGGAAGTTTGTTTTACTTGACTATGCATATTTCTTAAAAGAAATTGGCTTTTTCTTTTTTCTCCAATGTAGTGAGGAGTGGGAAGAAGAAAAAATATATTTCTGTTAATTAAAAAAAATTTAAATAATAAAAAGAAATTGGGGGTGATACAGGTGTGGAATATTGCAAGTACTTTCAGATGAGGTCACTTGTTAGTTATGCTCAATTGTTTTACTTTATTACAAGAGAACTATCCTGGGGGAGGGAAAGCTGTGAATGTTTGTAATATAAAAAGAAAACACATCAATAAAACTTAAACAAAAGGATTTGCAAAGCATTTTATAACAACCTCACAAGGTAGATATTATAGGTGTTTTTGTTCCCATTTTTCAGATGAGGAAACTTGAGCTTAGAAAGGTTAATGACTTGCTCTTTGACATGAGTCTAGTAAGTGATATAAACCCAGGTCTTCCTGACCTCACAATCCAACATGCTGTCTCTACAATGTATCATGTGCAGAAAGAAATATAGAAGAAATCATAAATACTGGAAAAGGAGGAAAGATGGTCATGTGGCAAGAGAGTATGGTAATGGTTGGATAGTCATTGTGCTACATTGGTACACACATAATGTCAGGAAATTTAAGAGGAGGTCTCTCTGAATGGTGGGTAGAGCCTACCTGTAGGATTTATGGATGGATTACGATCTCTTCTATTGAGATTATCCACACTGATGAGATCATAAATGCATTGAAATAGTGAATAATGGAAGGGAATTAAAGGAGATTCCCAGGTGTCATTCTCTTTTTCCAAGTAACACATTTTATGGCCTCCTGGAGACAATGTCTTTCCTTTGTAATCTAGTTCATTGGAGGGACTCCAGTGGAAAGTGAAGGGCAGTCTCTGAGAAATTTTTTCCAAGGTGGAGCCTTGTAACACCTCTTTAATCATCCCGCTTGGATGGCTGCCTACTCCTCCTGCTCCAGGTTGGGCTGACCGTAAGTGTTATTATACCTTTCTACTTTATTTAGACTGAGGACAGATATTATTAACCTAGTACTTATTTGTTCAACATCATTCTGTGGTCTTGTAGTCTTGAAGCCTCTTCTAGGCACATGTCTCAGGTTCAAAGGTTTAGAACTGAAAGGCCATTTAGCCAACAGTTTTTACAAATTTTATTTATTTGTTTTTTGGTGAGGCAGTTGGGGTTAAGTGACTTGCCCAGGGTCACACAGCTAGTAAGTGTTATGTGTCTGAGGCCAGATTTGAACTTAGGTCCTCCTGACTTCATGGCCGATGCTCTATCCACCACACCACCTAGCTGCCCCTATTTTTTTTTTATTTTTAAAGTACATTTTCTTGATGGTTTTTGTCTTTACATTACAATAATTTCCTTTTACTTCTCCAGATAGAATCACTACTTGGGATTCAATGACAGTGATAAAAA